ACGATTTACGATAAAAACGAGAACACATTATGTGCCTTGTCCGTCTTCTCTACTCGTTATATTATTATTATCATGTAGGATATTATTATTATAAATGTGTATATTGTGTTATTCACTATCACTATTACACTGTAGTAATATTATATAGTAAAATGGTATTTTGTGACAATGCAGCCGCCGCCGCCGCTCCCACCACTACCAAACGGCGAACACGGTTCAGATAGTTTTTGTTCGTTTCGTTTACAGGCGGCAGACAAACAAACTACCTACGACGTTTCGGTCGCGTGCGTGCGTGCGTGCTAGTTTTATCGCGTTCTTGCCCTTCACCGCCGCGCAGCTGCCGTAGTGAATGGCGGCAGGCTGCAGCTCGCGTACGCGTACCGGGGCCGCCCCTCGTTATAACGATCGGGCCTCGCGACGTTGCCGGATTTCTGCAAGGCGCACGATGGCAATGTAATATTTTGTCCACAAAAATACGCTCTACGGAAATAATGATCCTGTGCTATAGAATCGACTAAATTTAATTATTTTTTTTTTGACCAATTTAGGGTTTTGTCCTACGATCCGCATTCAACTCCGTTTTACAATATTTTAATCTCAATCTTTATAATTTGTTTTCAAAACGTTCCGTTATTGTGGCTTATTAAAACCAATCAGTTATTTTAATAATCATATTGTGATAACGTCGTGGTTAGTATACTCTGCGTTAAAAGAGAATAATCAGTCAGCTCAGCGCATCTCCCACCAACAACCCGGTATTAACTTAATCACGAGGTTCACGACGCTCCGATTGCATCATTTACGATGAGTAAAAAGCACGGACTAAGATAGAGAGGACTGGAAACGATAAGATGGGCGGGTGACCGCAATTGCCTGGGTCCCTCTACTCTTACCCACCCAAATTTGTACACAGCTAACATGCACACTATCTGCTTGGTAAAATGTCAACTATTTGTATCGTATAATTTTAATTATTATCATCATTACATATTCCGTCTGGCCACTAGGTAGGGTTAAGACCAGCTGTGTACAAGGGAAATCAGCAGAGGCACTTCGGACCCGTTAAAAATGTGCTCGTTTCCAGTCCTCTCTATCTTAGTCCGTGGTGAAAAGTGATTGTTCTTAGAAAAAGTAAAATAACCAATATTGTGTATATTAACACTGGGAGCGCTGTCCACGACTATCTTACTGATGGTTAGATGGGTTCCCCTCTACGCCGAGTCGGGAGATAGTATTTCTTTTCCCGACATTCCGCATACATTTTGTCTTATGTGAAGTGTATTTAAACGTATTTGATAATATTAGTGGAAATTGTATTTACCAACGTATACAGTTAGCTATAAAAGCATATAAAGTTTCGATAACAAAATTACTTTTTATAAAAAGTAAAATAACCAATATAAAATGATATCTATGTATTTCGAATATGCGAGTTGAGGATTATGCCACCAAAGTGCGTATCGTTAGCTTATTTTACCAATAAAACTTATTTATGTATCCCGGAATCGGAAGATACAGATTGTTTCCACCAGAGCGCGTTTTATTAATTTGCTTCCCCAATAGGCGCTAACCTTGGTTATTTTATTTTTCAACTCTTTATGATATCAATAGACAAGTATATATAATCAGATTTAACTTCAATTTCATAAATATCATCCCGGTAGCCTTTTTGATGTTTTGCATAATATGATTGTGTTTCTTTTTTCAAAATATTTATGGCACCTTCATTTGCACATCTCTGATCACATATAGGGGTAACCACACACAAATCAGTTGCTTGGACTTGAAAAATTACCTATTGAAAACAATTTTAGTGTTTATTGTATAATATCATTTGGAAATTAAGATTTTATCATTACTTCTCTCAATTGTCGTACAAGTTCGTTTTTTAGCTCCTTGACAAAATTTATAAGATATTGGCTGCTTAAATTTTTTTTTTATCTCAATACAAGAGCCATAAACACAAGAGCGTGATCAGCAAGTAGTTGGGTCTTAGAATCTCCAGAATCAACTAAACCATCAATAATGTCAGTGGTTGAATTGAACTGCAGTCCACCATTCAAGCACACTTCATCAAATAGAATTGAACAATATCTACATAATGAATAAACAATAAATAATACACATAAAATATTTGAAGTATTTTTGTATATATATGTACCGCTCCATTGGCTTCAATTTCTTTACATTTTTTTTAAGTACACTCATCACAAGAGGACAAATGCCAGGCCGAATGGATACCGTTGATAAAATTGTGTTGAGTGTTCTTTTACTGGGAAAAATAAAAAGTTTTGATAACATCCCATAGCATTTAGGACTTCTTTTGTATAATGATAGACTTAACATTTTTTCATCCATACTGAATCTTTGTCCAAGCTTTATTTTTTTCTCTAACCTGTAGTTTCATAAACAATGAAGTGGCTGCATTTATTTTATTTGAACATTTATCAGTCAAATAATCATTGTTCATTTTATTTTGCAGCTTTAATTCTGTCTTTAAAAAGTCATTTTTGGCTTTTGGCACGTCTAAATTTTTTCAACAGAATATTTGCTCTTTGTATAAATTGTTTTGTACCCGGACTCGAACAACTGTCCTCGAAATGATCACCACGAATTACCTTTTTTCGGTAAACAGATATTACATCACTTTTATCCAAACCAACGATATCAGTCCATTCCAGAAGTCTTTCCATGTATCTATTTAGATTTGGAAAACGATGGCATACTATACCTAATAAAATAAAATTGTGTGACAAAAATGGGATATGGCATGTATGTTTACTACATGTATGTATATTGTATGTATACAAATAGGGATATGCAGTATGCATTTTTTTACACCATGACCCTTTTTAGATTTTACAGCTTGTACGATTACTCATTTATAAATGTGGATATTTATATATTTCATAAACATTCAAAATTCTTAAGAAACTCATTTTTTATGCGGGCAGCCGTTCGAGTTTGGTCTTCTTATTCTAGTCTTCGTGGATAAAAGACATTAGGTGGTAGGGCTTATGCCTGAAGCACATATCTCTATATAGTACTAGATAGCTAACTCTCACCATGAATTGAAGCTTCAAGGTCGGTTGACAATTGTATGGTATTTTATATGGCCAATAAGATTAATTATGATGTATCTTTTAGTGTATTTTTTATTTCTAAACCGGTTGCTTAAAAAAAAATATTTTTTATAAATCATTTTACATTACTTTTTTATTTTACCATTAAAAACGATGTTATTCCTAATACATTATGTATATGAATGAAACGTTTTGCCATCCAAAAAATGGCAGCCGTCTACAGTTAAGCTTGACTTGTAACAATGTAAATTATATAGGAGTTCCTTATCTCGTAGTATAGAAGTCGGTGGCCTGAAGTTAATAAATATTACCGCAATGGTTATATTTGTTTATAGCTTGTGGGGTAACCTCAATTTCAACTTTGATAAGTGAATAAAAAAAATTTACTATCAATTAATAGCCATAGATAATCGATGTAAATTACACGATTTAAGATAATATGGTTTCCCGACGAAGTTTGATAAAGTGATTCCATATGTACCCCTTTGGTAAAACAATTCTTTACACTCCCGGTGGAATTATTATACACCAATGCACTACATTGACATCATAATTGTTAATAGGTTATCATCATCAGTAGCGTTAATTTTTAAAATGTGGTCGGTCAATTTCAAAACTTTGGGGTCTGAACTCTCAATATCTTAATTAATTAATATAGGTACCTACCCTAATAATTAATATACATTTACTCATAATCATTGCTTAGTTAAAATCAGGCCTACCAACCACATTTTTCAAAACAGGTTAGTTCATATTTCATAAGTACCTCGATAGAGCGCTCTGGCAGTGAGTTGAACAGCTGTTATATCAAGCACTTTCGATAGTCGTGTGATAGGACAAACACAATAAACACATAGTATAATATTATCTTAAATCGTGGTTAATAACATGGTTTCACTATAAACCACTACTATAACCACACGCAACCAGCGTGGTAACATATATTTTCTTCGGTTACATTATACGGTGTGTGGTAGGTATAAAGTTGTCCTATCCGTGTATATATTATCTATGTGATCGACAGACATGTGTTATTTTGTTGATTAGGTTAGGTTTATTGAATATTTCTAGAACCTAATCGTGTCTAATCGCACTTAATTCTATTAAGAATAACACTAAGTGTTCACTTGGGTGTGTACTTAATTTCCAATTTTTAATTATTACAAAAACGTAATTCTACTACTATTTTATTATTCTATTTTAATAAATGTACCAATATTATATGATTAATAAATAATTAGTTAAAATATGGAGTTTATTTTTCTATTGAATGGATGACTCTTTGACCCGTTAGTCGTTAGTAACCTTAACATTATAAAACCATTTTCTCGGTTTAATTGTCACTACTTATCTTATACCATTTTTGTTGGTCGTCGCTAATGAAAATACTTCCATATTTTTACAATTATTATGTAAAAACACTATTAAATACCTAAAATAATAACTACAGTTGTAGACAGAATAGTTAGGCATTTCCAATATGAAGAAACGTGGCTTGATGATGACGCAACTGTTATGATTCTTATAAAAACAAATATCCTGTGTGTAATTTTGGCATGATGTAATATAGCCAATTGGGAATAATTAATAATAATAAAAGTTAATAAAAATAATACTTTAGCGAGTATAACATAAAATGTAACTAGAAGTATGGTCTCGATTATTTTGATTAGACGAACTGGGTATAAACTTTCAATTCTTGTCTCCCAATGATGACCATTATGAATATTATAGAATATATATTTGAACAGAAGCTACATTTTTAAGAAACAAATTAAGTTTTGTAGGTTTGGAATAGTATTAGTTGTTAAATAGCGGAAAACTGTTTTTATAACAACTTTTAATGAAAAATATATACATTGAATGTGAACATTGTATTTCTAATAATCTAATCTCATGCTGATATTTTGTTTTCAGATCGAATAAGCTTACGTACATTAAAAAAGAAGTTGATAGCTGGTTTCGCAATGTTGTTTATGACACATGTCAAGTTTCTTTGAAAAAATTTACTGAAGAAGACATAGCAAATTATAAATTGTAAGTTTGTCTTAATATTTATATATGATTAGGGACTACAGTGATTATACGAAAAGGACAAACCAAACGAATTGAGGCTATGAATAAATATAAATTTAAATTAAATTAGTAAATTACCCATAACCATCGTTTGAAAAATGGTTCATGGAAAAGTGTTAATCAATGGCCTCAATTACAATAAAATAAAATGAATAATAATCATCTAATAATATGTTCTATAATATGTCTATGAACCAATGAATCGTACTTAGTATCTACGATTGGTACTTAATACTTATTATCAGGGCTATATACAGTATACCATCTTTAATCATGTTAATTATTATATTACATTTATTATCTTGTAAATAAAATTATTAATCAAAAAAAATAGAATACAATTTCCAAAAAAAAAAAAAAAATTTAAAATCAAATATAACGTTAATTTTTTTGTTATTTCCGGTTTTGTTAAATTGGCCGGTTTTTTAAAAAAAATTGTTACCGCTCCACGTTACCCTTTAATTGAACTTAGTGGTTACCTTTAATTGTTAATCACTTCTTAAAATTTAAAATTTACAAACAGGGAAGCGGCTACCAGACCCAAAATTGGTCAGGGTAACTGATTTCTGTTAAAAACCGGTAACCGGTTTCAAGCCCTGGATTAAACAATATTTTAAATAAGAGAACGGATAGACCATATACATTATAACCTTTCAATAAATCTATTAAGCATTTGTTTTGGGTCAATTTTCGAACAATTAGTAACATCACTGACGAGTTTGATTTATATAATTATATGTAATTTATACTTTAAATAAATAATTGTATAAAACCCTTTTAGAATGTAAAATTAAATATAAATAATACATTTATTAATACAAGAATATTATAAATAATAATAATAATAATATCATATTTATCTCAAAATACTTATTTAAGTTTATTACTTCATTTTAGGAGCTTAATTAAAAAAGAGAAAAAGACACCCAAAGAAGTTGGTAATATATTCAAAGACAATATAACAATAAAACAAGAATATTATACAATAAAAGACAATACAACTTCTAAAAGCGATAAAAGGTCAAAATATGAGAAAAAGTCTAAATATGTTAAAACGCCTAAAGATACATTTAAAGATTTTAAAACGCCTAAAAATGTTATAACATCTAAAAATTTTAAAACGCCTAAAGATGTTAAAACATCTAAAGGTTTTAAAACGCCTGAAGATGTTAAAACGTCTAAAGATGTTAAATCGTCCAAAGTTGATAAAACATATAAAGACAACACATCTATAGACGACGAGCCTGCTAAAAAAAAACAGAAATTGGATACAAATGGAATAGATGTTTTGAAATTAGTATTATCTAGAGAGGGCGAAACTCATAAATTTAAATCAAAATTTAAGTCTTCGTTAAGACCCAAGAAGGAAATTGCGTCTACCAGTACAGCAGAGGAAGTACCCATAGTAATTGATTGCGAAGAATCTGTGTTAGATTGTGTGTCTGCTAATTCTTCAGCTACAAATGTAAAACAAAGGGTCTGGGTCAAGGATGTTAAGAAAATGATGGATGTAGATAATTACATGAGGTGGCAGGAAATGATCAATTATAAAAATAAACCCAATCATCCAACAAATGGCACTAAAAAGTTAGCAGTTGCTAAACTCCCAATAAGTGGACCTATAAGCGGATCTACAAGTTTACCTAAATTAACTGTACTTAAACACGCAGTAAATGGCAAAAAATATGTAAAAGGGCATTTAGTAAAAATTGAAAAATTATACATAAAATATTTCACTAAATCCGCACAAGATACTGTCGTGGTTATTGCAAATATACTCAATATAATATCAATGTCTAATAAACATCACAAGGCACGAATGGATGAATCTTTTAAGAAAAGATCTGAAGCCGAAAAACTTAAAGAAAGATGCGATGCCAACAGATTACATGGAAGGCATAAACAAATTTTAGAAACAAAGTTGAAAAACTTTGTTATAGACGTTGTATCATCTTTTGAAACGTCGGAATTTGATTCTGCATTTCAGATGTTTTTTCTAAGTATATTAACTGTACTTCGAGTTTTGGATCAGCCCAAATTCAAAAAAGGTAGTATCTTCAAAAATTTGGTACTTTTACTATGGAACAGTTTGAAGAACAGTGAATATAACCATCCCCAAATTTTTTCATTGTTCCGGTCAAAGACATTTCGACCTGACTGCATTGATTTAATAAGTCTAATTGAAGATAGCCGGGATATTGACTCTGGAGTCACCGATCGCATGTCATTATTTTTTGTATCATCAGTAAACAGTCGGGAATATTTTCAAGCAGTTATTGATGCCGTCATCGGTGATTCGAATGAAGATCTGGGGTCATTAATCGATAATGCAGCTTTTCAATGTTCCATTAATTCAAAGTTTAAAGATCCTGTAGCTTCACCAACTGTACAATCTTCAGATAACAAAATACCAGCAACAGAAACTATCCCTAGCACTGTCAATAATGATGAAATAATTCAACACTGGTTCCTAGCCAAAAATCCAGATGGAACTTACCAGTAAGCATTTTTTCATATCTAATTACTGTTATGGTCCTATTAGTTGTCATAAAATATTTGATTCAGACACAATATTAGTATTTTTAGACCCTTAGAATAGAGTTTGTATCTAAACGGTGTTAGATTTTATTCCTCCCACTTCAATTGATTGTCTTAGGTGCCATTAACATTGTAGACATACTACCATAGTATCTTACATTCAATAATTAAATTAAAAATTAAATAATAATTAAATTACATTATAATACATTCAATAATATATATTACCAGACATTTTAACTGTTTTTAGGATACTATACTCTGTTCCAAGAGAGACGATACTCGTTTTTTCGTCCGTCGCTGCGCATCTCCCACCATTTTCGCCCGTTCGGTTACGATCGTGACACGTTCGGCCCGCAACGACTCCTCGCCGGACGGTAAGGAGTGGGATAAATAGGGTTCCGTGCTGTCGTCGGCGTCAGTCTGATGAGCGGAACGAGTATCGTGTCTCCTGGAACAGAGTATAGCTTATCCCGTGCACTTCATTGCATTCCGTGTTAGTTTTTTTTCTATAAATGTCAATAAAATTGTATTATTTGGGTCAAGAAGCTTTGTAAAGTAATACAAGGGTACTGATATATGTTTACAACAGTATTTAGAAACCATAGGCACGTTTTTTTTATGTGCATTTAAAGTTCAAATGTTGACGAATTTTATCAAATTGGAAATTTACAAATTATTTAGTAGGTAATTAAATATTTATAAAATGTTCAACTTATATAGCAAAGGATTAAAAATGAAAAATACATTTTATTTTTAATTACCTATAAATAGTAAAAACTGACGATTACGCCAACTACAACAGTCCCCACAAGACTTATTAACTTAGTAACAGTTGTTAGCTGCGGGCTGTGTTTTCTAAACATATTATAATAATAATATATACCTAGTTTGATATCGAGATATTATTATTATCGTAGTAGTGCAGTTCGCGCAGTCCTACATAAATACAGATAGCAGATACAAGTTTCAACACATATTATGACTATTTTTAGTTTTTAGAATCCGGTAATCTATTACAAAAACCAATTTAGAAATATAAATTTTTTTGTCAAATGCCTATAATTTTTGTTACGAAATTGAAATTGAAATTTTAAATACATTAAACAATTTTAATAACATCTAGTAATATTACGTGAAATAATTATTATATAATATAAAAGCTATATTGTATTAATATAATATGCGATTTGTTTTAAGTAAAATTATTTCGCCTATTGTATAACTAAATAATATATAAATTACTTTTATCTATACAATTATAGCTGGGAGCACGAAAAATGAGCGTTGACGCCCGTGACCGGTACGAACCCACTGTTGTGCCGTTACGTGTCGTATTTCATGTAGTTTGGTGATTTGATAACCACTTTAGAAAAACTGCCGTTTGGCGCATGACGAGCAGCGCTAATTTTTATTGCCCCCTAATATAATATATATACTGTAAATAAAAATGTATTTTTCAATTATAGAGTGATCGACCATTTCCGCTCAGAAACCGTTTGTCGTCAGTGTTTGGCAAGTTCCATAGAAAAAGGAATTGTTCCTTTCATCGTTCTTTTTTTAAAAAAAGAAATTCGTTATGTTCCTTGTTTCTTAAAAAAAAATTTGTCCTTTGGAAAATGAACACGTTCTTTTCTTAGTTCCAAATAAAATAAACTTTCTTATTTAATCATTAATGGTTTTTTTTTTTCATTGCACTACTAGCATACCGTAGAATCTGTCTTTACTTGGGGCAGTTTTGAACTTTGACTATGTATATCTCAGTTAATAATTATTGTATAGGTCCCATAGCATATCAAAAGTTGTCTCTTAGTCAATATTTTAATATGGATCTTAATTTAAAACATTTAAAACTTGTATACTTACTATCCTGGTTTTACTATATTTTTTGTGGCTGTCCCAAATTACCTTTAAAAGAGCTTATCATGGGGCGGTTATTTAATTTTGCTGAAAAACTCATTTTGAGCCTATTGCCTATTCAAAAATTTATACGAATTCTTAACTCAAAATAATTAGCTAATTTTCGTGATTTTTCTTCTTTTTATATCCTGTGTACAAAATTACTACCAGAATAGTACCTTATATTTTAGCAAATTGGATCAAGATGGTACTTTAAAAGGTCATTTTTCGATTTTATCAATAGTTATTTAATGCCACTGTAAAAACCACCGAAAAATTATGAAACACCGCTAAAAATTGGATTTTAATTCTAAACGCTTTGTTTATTACCATAGAAACGAATAACAAAAATAATATTATAATATTAATTCAACTTAATGATATAATGATTAAATGACAAGATAAAAAGGTGGTCTGCTGTACAGTAGGTTACAAGGTGGGTCACTGTATAACTGGATGGTATTAACATTTTCATTCAATGATCATAATATCATTGTATACGAAAACGATTCTGAGCGGAGACGGTATGTCAAATCTTGGTATAAGACATATTATATCTATGGTATTAATCAAAAATTGACCCATAATAGGTAACTATAATAGAGTCCAAATTAATCATATCACAATATCCATTAGGTACTTATAACGCGTTATACATCAACAACAAACCCTGATACTACCATAGATATATAATAGTGTACTTTAGAAGTTTAAGATACCACGAATAATATTATACAATCACAACAAAATAACTAAAATAGTTATTATAGGTTTTTTATTATGTAATTTCGTAAGAATTTGAACTTAAAAGGACTATTAAAATAAACTGGAATTCTGGATTTTTTAGATTTTTGGGTAACAGAATAAACTACTTAAGGGGAAGCTTGTTTTAAATTTCAATCCTTCGACATAAGAGTTGAACATTTTATAAATTTTTAACAAAAGATTATTCAATTTTAAATTTGATAATTTTGTCAAAATTCGATCTTTAAATGCTTATAAAAAAAAATTGTGCCTATCTATTTTTAATATTTTTCAACTGATATTGTAACAATATAATATCAGGAGCCTTGTATTACATTTTACACTTTTTGGCCCAACAGATAAAACTTTATGATATTTATAGAAAAAAAAACTAAAAAAAATTGAAAACTGAAAATGTCCGTAAACAGCTCAAAAAGAGTCAAAATTTTTTCAAAATTGTATGGTGTATAGGAAATGCTAATATAAATATTCACTGAAATTTTCATGTATCTACAGTCATTCGTTTTTGATATATAACAAAATAAGGAAATCTCTACACGAGAAATCGAGTGAATATCCAATGTTGTAAAAATTTGAATTTCAAACTTTCATAAAAATTAAATTTGACTTTTTAAAACATTTTTTTTTTGATATAGGTGGATAATCTTATAAGGAATCTTGTATTACATTTTAAAATCTTAGATTTAAAAGAAAAATTTTTACGAATTCTTAACTCAAAATAATTTGCCAATTTTCAATATTTTTCATATTTTTGTCAATTTTTGAACTATAAATGCTTATAAAAAAACCTGTGATTAAGGATTTTTTAATAGTTTTCATCTGCCTTTGAACAAACTACTAGGAGCCCGCTTTAAAATTTCCAAGCTTTTTTAACTAATAAATAACATTTTATTGATATTTAAGATATAAAAACTAAAAAAATTGGAAACTGGAACTGTCCCTAAACAGCTCAAAATAAGTCCAAATATTTTAAAAAATTCATGGTGTATAGAAAATGCTAATATAAACAGTCAGTAAATATGTCATGTATCTACTTCGTATATAATACCTATTATAGATGTACAATATCCCCAAAATCATATTTGTAGTTAAAATAACAATCAAAGATTTTAAATTAGGATTAACTGTATAAACTTTTAGTTACTTTAACTACATCTGTAATAGTCAGATTAATTTTGATTAAGTTGTAAAAGGTTTAAATATAGGTATATTATAATTATTATTAATTAAATTACTAGTTTTTTAAACTAACATTTACTATCTTAATGAATTGAAATTGTATATATTTATGTTGCCAATTTAAATTAAAATGCCAGTATTAATTAGCTCTGTTATATTTTTAGACAAATACCTGTGATAAATGGTAATAAGACCCAAACCATTGGTAATACTGCAATAAAACCAAAAATTTTAACGGGACAGCCGTTAAATAACTTCTATCAATCATTTTCTTCTTCACTACAAAATAAAAATTTGGAACCTTCTACTTCTAAAGTAATACCAACAAACAAATGTTTTGTTGTCGCGACAACTATTTCACACAGTCCTTTGGTGCAAGTAACAGCATCTTTGTCAAAATCTGCAACAACAATACCAGCAACAACAACAACATTTGTGACGTTCAAACCAGCAGTTCCGAATAATATTTCTATGGTAAACGGTACTCTTCAAAGAGCTGAAGGTAGCACTATTTTAGTTGGCAACAGACAATATCAATTGGTTAAGGGTCCAACAGGTCAAATGAGAGCAGTAATCAATAAAGCTAAAACATTTATTAAACCACAGCCAGTCGCTATGGACAAAGTAAGTAAAATTCATCAATATATATTTTTTTAAGAAAATGTCACACCCGCATGTGTTGTCTCCGTCTTATAAATGTACAACATAGCAAAAACTGTTTCGCTTGGGACAACTTTTATCTTTCTGTATTTGATAACATAAATACAATAAAAGTTATTTGCTTCTAAACATTTGGTTTACTAAAGCTTAACAATACTTATTTGTATAACAAAATATAAGATTATGAACAGATGACTTAAAAGTCTGTTTTTTAAACACTAGTTTAAAATATTTAACCAATCTATATAGCCTGTTAAAGTACTACACTAATTTTTGTTTTGTTTCATGGCTGTGGTTTTTAAAAATCCATGCTAAAAGTACTAATAACATGCTTTCAATTACATCTATATATTTTTTTTTATAAATATTTATAGTAACAAATAGTGATGGTTTTAAGTTCTAACTGATTAAAAACCAAATAATTTATGGTTAAATGGTTAACTAACCAAACACATTATTTAAATTGACGATTATGAATAACTTAGTCGGCTATCGAATGATTCAGTTGACTATTCTTCTAAAATTAATCTGAAAAACAAGAATAAGCTATTATATTTTCATCATTATTAACTTCTTTTTTTTCTATAAATTGTTTAGCAAAAGCCTTTTTTTAAAATTATGAGGTATCTGAAACGAAATCCACGAATGCGTAGTTTTTGAGTCATTTATCTTGTGTACTAAGAATATTAAGTAAATGATATTGGTTTAGAAGATTTGGTGCTATAATAATATGTTAACTATAGTAATTAATATTCATCTATTATAATTTTATTATTTGTAAAAATTGTTTAAGTATAATCAGTTTCAGTGTTGGGTAGTTACATAATGCAAATTACAAATTACATTAACAAAATTACTTTTTCAGTAACACTGTAGTAATTTCCTTATATTTTGTTTAAATTAACATATTGTAATAAAATTACTTTTTAAAACTAATTTCATAGTATTAGCCTGTTATTTTCTACGTTATTAAAATAAGTTATGAATGTAGAATGTATGACAAAACCTAGGGGCTAAAATATTTGAGTAAAACAATAAATTTATTTACGACCCCGAAAGTTTTAGACAATAATCAACAAAAATGTACCAAGATTCCAAGAATTAATACCATTGACAATAATAAGTTTTTATTAACATTAAGTCATTAAAAAAAAACAATGTAACCCTACATCATAAATGTTATTTCTATACTGCTATAAAATGTATATAATAGTATACCTAACATTTTACCATTAAAAATTAGTTATTAGTTATTACTAACTTATTAGTCATTATGTACTGATTTTGTAATTAGTTTATAAAAAAGGAACGTTATTTGCAACACCCTACATTTTGAATGAAAAAAAACGTTACATGATAAAAATAATGACGAGTAGGTAATGCGAATGTAATTTAAATGAAAATATTTAATATAATGAGTAACGTAATTGTATTACTTTTTAAAAGGAATTTACTGTCAGTTTTAGATTATACATTAAATACATTTTATACTTTTGTCATATTTATGGATTATTATTCTTAACATATACATTTTAATTACTGAGTAACTACTAGTTTGGATTTTAATTTAGAGGCATCTAAGTTTTTAAAAGATATAGTGATTTTAATATTCTAAAAAATGTTTGTTGTTATTTTTTTAGTGCTACGCAAGAAATTGCACCAAGTCTGCAACAATAATGTGCAGTAGCTGTACATCGGTGAAATACTGTTCCCATAACTGCCAAGTAAAAATACCTATTTGAATATACTTGTTAAATAACTAAACTGTTGTTATATATTAATATTAATGTCTATTTTCTTCTTTTAGCGCCTTGACTGGTATGATAGTCACATAAACGTCTGTGAACAACTGGTAAAGCAAAAGCAGAGACCCTAAACTTTCCATTACATATATAAATAATTTTAATTTAATATATTTATATTAAAAGCGTTTTCATGAAAATATTTTTATTTAAAAAAAAAATATGTATAACCTATGCTTTTATATTTTGATATTTCTTAAGTTGTTACATAAGTTTGTATAATTAGGGTTGATTACTATTAAGTTTAATCTAATATTACTTTATAGTTTTTAGAGTTTTTATGTTAATATCTTTTTATCTATACCTGTAATTTATTTGTTTTTTCCAGGGAGGGTTGCCAAAATAAATAACAAATTTTTTGGTATTTTAAATTATATAATATTTATTTCTTGATTTAATTTATGTTTGTATGTAAATAAAAAAAAAGTAATTTATGGGAGACTGAGTAGAATATGCCTTTGGTATGGATCCTACTATGTAGGTTCAGAATACCTACGAAACAAAAACAAAAAAGTACAATAATAAATTATCACAAAGCATGTATATATAACTGTACACATCAGTTTTACTGTATTTAATAATAATATGAATAATTTATGTATGCTTATAATACCTATATAATATTTCTAAACTTTGTGATTTAATAAATATTAAGTTTAATATTGTACCTACTTGCTGATGTATTTTATTGAAGATAATCCTCTGTGCAAATTATTTATGATTGAATTATTTTTGATTTAATTATTGGTTTTAAAAAATCAAGCATGACAATTAACATTAATAATAAAATTGGATTTGAAATAAGTTCTTTTGGAACTAATAAGTAGAGTGATTGTATAAAATCATTGATTATGATATTATTTCTTTTCAAAGCTGAAACTGGTAATATTAGTTTAATAATTTTATTTATTTTTGAATACATCTGGGTTTTTGGTTGGATTTTGCCAAATAAATTTTTGAAAATTGCTGAATTGGTTTCCATTTAAATTTTAGATGTAGACCAAAAACCAAATTCGATTTTGCTTAAAAATTAACGTTTTTCCTTAATTATTATTTTGTTTTTCTTGGCGCTTTTGAAAATAACTGAGAATTTTGAACCTCCCCAATTCACCAACGATATTAACTTTCCAATCGAACAAGATACTGAAGTTGAAAATCGAAACATTATTTCGACTACTTATCGTGTACACAGGCGCAAATGAAATAAAAAAATTTAAATTAAAAAAAACAACACACATCATTGTAAAATCAATACATTCATCGTTCCACTCAGAATCTAAAATTGTTAAGTTCAGTTGTTATAATTGTAAAAGGAACAGTTTTGGCCAAAAACTGACACTGGCAGAAAAGGGAAGGGTACATTTTGGAGGAAAACGGTCGGTGCATCCGAATTGCATGCCAAAAAAAATAAATATAAATTGGAATGTCCAAATTGCATGCCGTCTTTTGGAGGGGTCTGTCCGAATTGCATGCCATCTCTTAGAGGGGTATGTCCGAATAAAATGACTAAATAACTTACTTTTCCACTGGAGAAACTGGATTTTGTTACATTACAATAAAATATATAAATATTGTAGAAGGTGAAACTGTGAATAATAAATATTAAATAAAACTATTTTTCATCAACAACAAAGGCCATTAGTTAAATAAAAGTATAAAACTATTGTAGTTTAGGGTAATCAAGTGAGTGTATTTTACATGTTTACATAGTATTTCAAATAGGTAAAATAATATTGTTTTAAAGTTTTTTTGTTTTTTTAACATTTCAAGCACACAATATATATAATAATAGTTCATAATAATAAAATATATCAATATGGAAAATATATATTAATAATACAGATTAATACTAATACCGGAAACATATTTTTTTTGAATAATTAAATAGTAATAGCATTTTATAAAACCGTTAAAATTGTTCAGGGGAATAATTACAATGAAAAATTACGTTAGGTACAACTTACAACAGTGGAGTGCCGAACTGACAAGCAGACCTGAGGCAAACTATTCAATTTGATCCCCCTCCCCACCACCAAAAGTTTTTTTATTATTCAAAATAATAAATATTATTAAGTTTTTTTAGGTATAAGTTGCACATCTTATACTAACACACCCACCCACCTACCCGAATTTTCCCTGAGGCAATTGCCTCAAAAAATTACTATTCAGCACGCCTCTGACTTACAGTATAGTAATAATAATATAACATTAAAAAAACAATAATAATAATAGTAGGTAATAATATTATAATAACTTATAAATTATAAAAGCTTATAAATTTGACAGCTACAAACACGTGAGTGACCACTGACCGATACACGTATGTCTATGTCTTTGAAACAGACTACAATACACTACAGTACTCCAATATAGATACAGTTTACTAAATATTTACTCGGATATAAAAACATTTCAATCTAGGAACTAATCAATTGTAACAACCATAGATAAAATAGCGTTTCTATACATGCATTTTTTTTTTAAATTAGGAAAGACCAAAAAAAAAGTTTAAGTTGTTTAAGTGCATAAAAAATAAACATTTGGTTCAAGGCATGCAATTCGGACAGACCCCTACAGGCTCCAAGAGATGGCATGCAATTTTTACATTTTTTTTTTCGGCATGCAATTCGGAAGACGGTGCGCCCCTTATAAGACAATAAAACAATATAATAACAAATATTAATTTTAGCCTGTTTAAATATAACATATATGTGAAGCCACTATAAGTTCCATACTTTCATGTAGTTATTAATAAAAGTGCAGTGGCGTAAATAGGAAAAATCAGCACCACAGTTCACTAGACTTTTAATTTTATATACATTAATGATGACTAAAAAATACAAAAATTATTAGGAATTGTAATTTATACTATATGTAAATACTTGCTATAGTATAAATGAATCTATCAGCATGGTTATAATAATATGGACAGCTATTAAAATAAATATTAGATTATACCTACCTACTTAGTTTGTAATATTTTATAGGTAATTGGGATTGTTGTTTTTATAAACTCACGGATTCAGGATTCTCAGATCTTATTAGAAACTTGGATATTATGTTTATTTCACAATAATCTGTAATACCTACCTACTCAAACATCCCAAATGTTCAAACCCATACGACTTTTACGCACCATTATACGCTTGTTAGTTGCTGACCAAAGTAATCAATAAACAGATAAGATAATGACATAATAGCCTCTAGTCTGTATCCGGTGTTCCTATAATGTATATAATAAATAATAATAATTATGTACAATTTAATATAAAAATAATAATAAAGGTAGGTACAGTTAAAGAAAAATAATATAGGTATATATTTACGATAAGCTATTATGCATTCCTATTATCTAAACTGATGTTTGATTAATATTTAGTTAACCAAAGTAAAATTCATCGTTAACAGAGAGTTGACTTTGAAGTAATAAAAAAAATGTTTATTACAAAATAGTTTTTTGTAGGTAGGTACTTATCTACCCAATGTCATAATAATTTTAAAATTTAAACACGAAAAAAATGTATCAATTTAGTTTTATGCTAATCATTTATTTTAAATTGCATTACAAATAACTGATAAGGAAAATATTTTATATTTTCAAGACTTAGATATTGAAATAAAAATGTTATGAAAAATAATTTGTAAATAAATTGTGTTTTTTACTCATTTCTTCAAAATAATGATTTTAATTATTTTGTTGTATTTCAAAAATATTATTCCATGGGGAATTCAAACTTTTACTATTTTACGTATAATATTATACACAATATTTACCCAATGACATTTTCAAAATATTTATATTTATATACTTAATTTTAAGCTATTGCCTATTTATTAAGCGAGCCTATTACAAATTCCCATGGTACAGTTTTACGGCAAGTCTGTGTTGAATCAAATGTTAAGAAAAATAATCTATGTAATCTAATGTATAAATGTGAAAATGGAAATCTTTGCCACGCATGGTCATTAGCCATTAGTCTTATATTACCTAATATTAACATTAATAGAAATATAGCATACATTTTTTTTTACAAATATATTTAAAAAAAAAAAAACAAATTTTGGGCACGGATAATGCTTGGCAGAATACTGAACAGTTATTATAATTCATTAATAAAGTAGTGCGTTACAAATACCGTTACTTTTTAATTAATTTTTTGTAACCATATTCAATTCATATGATTCAATTATTATTGTAATAATAGACCTATTTTAGTATCATGTACAAATGTACAATCATCTCATCTATATGGCTATATAGACTATAATCATAACTCATAACTCATAAGTCATAATTAATTTTTATTAAATTTTATTTTTAAACCAAACTCTTTTCTCTCTGCTAATAAATTGATAACGTTTATTTCTGGAATGTTAAGTAATATTGTTAACTATTATCGGAATAAAAAATAAATATAATTGAATTTTAATTTTTCTGGGATATCCTATAGGTACCTGTAATGAATCCCAGAATAAAAATCCCCCGGAAAAAAAATCCCCAGACTACAATATTACTCACAACCTCATGCAAATGGTTGAACAAATATTTTTTAAACGTTAATTAGTATCTATAATTAATATTTAATTACAAATACGTATATTATATTCTATTATAATATAATATATTATATTTCATTATATTGTTAAAAAAATTATATATTTTAAATAATATTTTGTTTTAAATTACGATAATATATTATGTGTAATTCAAATTAAATAACTAACTTTATCTTATATTATATACCTATTATCAAAGGTACATACTAAACCGCTTATCGTCAAAATATCACAGAAAACGCAATATTTTATTTCGGGAATTCAATTTTTACAGAATTATACCTACATAAAATATATAGGTACCTATATTTTGTATAATATTTTTGTATACTATGTTTTTAACTGTATTATTAATTGACGTATCGACCATTATAAATATTTTTATAATTTTTTTAACAATTTAATAGAATATAATATACGTATTTGTCATTAAATATTAATTATAGATACTAATTAACGTTCAAAATATATTTGTTCAACCATGTGATTGTCAGTAATATTGTAGTTGGGGATTTTT